TTGCCGCCGCCCGCGACCGCTTCCTTAGCATTCACCACGGTGAGCTCACCCTCACCGACTTTGTAGACACCCTGACTGTTATTGAGACCCGCCACCGCTCCATCGCCCAGGCGAGCGGTACCGTGCCGGTCCCTATCTTTCAGGGTTGTGCCCCCGCTCAGTGTACCTTCTCCGACGGTTCTGTCGCTGTGGCTGAGACTGCTGCTGCTGCGCAGTTTCGTTCGGGGAAGGGCCGCTGCCCCAAGGCTGGGCGCGGCGGAGGAGGCGGGGGCGCAGGAGGGGGTGGTGGTGGAGTCGGGTGGTCTGGTGCTGGAGCGGATGAGGGGACCCTGCCCAGTCCAGCTGAGCCACCGCCTCCGCAGTCGCAGCAGCAGCAGCAGCAGCCGCAGCAGCCGCAGCAGTCGCAGCAGTCGCAGCAGCCGCAGCCTCCGCAGCAGCCGCCGCTGACGAGGCAGGCGAGTGTCCTCCCGCCCGGGTGGCCTGGCGCTGGAGATGGTCGAGCGCGTGGTGGTGTGCCGAGTGGTGGTTCGGGAGGCGTGCGTTGTCAGTACCAGATCCAGACCGGTCCTCGCCGCGGCTTCGTTTGCGGTAAGCTCGGTCATACCCCTCCCCGCTGTTTTCGTCGCCTGGACGACCTGTTTCGTCAGCGCTTCGGCCCGTCGCCAGACCTCCCGGACTGGCACAGTTTGCTTAGTCGTAGGATTCAGATTTTTGACATGGACATGGATGCCATTGTTTCTGCTCTGCATGTGATGTATGCTGACGACTCTAGTGTGCTTCCCGCTTATTACTCACTGTCGTCTAGTGTAGGTGTGCCTAGCTTAGCCTCCCCTGCTGCGTCAGGCGTAGGATCCCCTGCTTTGTTTAGCCTTGGTGCTTCCGCCGTCGCCCCGTCGCCGGACGCCACTGCTTCGCTTTCCTTCACCTTGGACTCTGGCGCTTCCCGGTGCTTCTTCCGCGACTCTACTACACTGACGCCGCTTCCTGTTCCTGCTGCCGTTTCTCTTGCTGACCCCTCCGGCGGTCCGGTAGTCGCCCGCAGTTCCACCACCCTTCCCTGTCCGGCGGTTCCTTCGGGCTCTCTTACAGGTCTGCATATCCTCTCGTTCTCCAGGAACCTAGTTGGTGTCGGCTGCCTCCAGGACCTTGGCGTCACCACTACGTTCCCTGGTCACGAGCGGTATGCTGTCTGTACCGAGGCCGCCACTGGTGCCCCCTGTCCACGTTCCCCCGGGACCCGGTGTCCGGCCTGTTCACTCTGGACACCGTGACCCCCCGGCTGGGGCGCCCCCTCAGGTGGCTGCGTCTACCCAGGTTGCTGCTGCCTGCTCCTGTCGGTCCCTCACTCACCCGACTCTTCTTTGGCACCACCGCCTAGGTCACCCTGCGCTCCCGCGTCTGCGTCACATGTCCCAGCACGGTCTCGTCCTTGGTCTCCCTGGTTCTCTCCCCGCTTTTCCCTCCTCCCCAGCCCCACCTTGCACGCCTTGCGTCGAGGGTCGGCTTCGCCGTGCCCCTCACTCCTCCTCGTTTCCCCCTACCGCCGCGCCGCTGCAGACCCTGCACATGGACGTCTTGGGCCCCGCCCCCGTCCATGGGCCGCGTCGAGAGCGCTACTTCCTTGTGCTTGTCGACGACTTCACTCGCTACACCTCGGTCTTTCCCCTGGAGCGGAAGGCCGACGTGCCTGTCGCTCTCATCCCCTGGCTTGTCTCTGCCCGTGTCCACCGGGGTCTCCCTGTCTTGCGCCTTCACTCCGACCGTGGTGGCGAGTTTGCCTCAGGTGTCCTTGGTCGCTTTTGTCGTGCGGAGGGCATCACCCAGACGTTCACCCTACCGGACTCCCTACAGCAGAATGGGGTCGCTGAGCGACGCATTGGTTTGGTCATGGAGGTGGCTCGCACATCCATGATCCATGCCGGTGCACCCCATTTTCTGTGGCCGTTCGCTGTGCGCTACGCTTCTCACCAGCTTAACCTGTGGCCGCACCCCCAGCAGCCGCAGATTTCGCCGACCCGTCTTTGGACCGGGTCTCCTGGTGACGCGTCTGCGTTCCACGTCTGGGGCTGCCTTGCTCACGTCCGTGCCTCCGGCACGGACAAGCTCACTGCCCGCACCCTTCCCTGCGTCTTCCTCGGTTTTCCCCTTGACGCTTCCGACTGGCACTTCTACCACCCGCCGTCTCACCGCTTCTTTCACTCTCGCGACGTCACCTTTGACGAGTCCGTCTCCTACTACCGTCGCTTCCCCCACCGCGGTCCCCCGGTTACCCCCCCCCCTGTTCCTGGTCACTCCTTCCCCGGTAGTCCCTGTCCCTCCCCCTCCTCCTCCCCGTCCTGCCCCCTTTGGTGTGTCTCACGTCACCCCTTTTCCGTCGGTGGTCCCGGTTGAGGAGTCTTCTGACTCTGGTGGTCCTGCGGCACAGTCCTCGCCGGCTGCCCCTCCCCAGGCGTCCCCTCCTCCACTGCCTCTGCCGCCGCTGTCGCCCCTGCTGTCGTAGCCGTTGTCATCTCCGCCGCCGCCGCCGCCGCCGCAGCCGTCGTTGTCGCTGCCGCCGCCACCGCCGTCGCAGCACCCGTTCGTTGACTCTGGGGGTGCTGGCGTTGGAGTGCATGCTAGTCCAGGTAGCCCTAGGGGTGGTACCGGTCCTCGAGGGGTTTCGGGCCCTGGAGGTGTTCCCTCTGGGGGTGCTGGCGTGGAGTGTGCCGGTGGTAGCCGAGGAGCAGTTTGCGGTCCCGGTGTCGGCGTTGTGCCGCCGCAGCAGCAGTCCCCGCCGGTGTCAGCCCTTCGCCTGCTCGGCCTTCCGTCCCCTGACCCTGCGTCTGTTCCTCTCCGGCCGTCTCCTCCTCTTCCCGTCTACGGCCCTGTGTTCCCTCCGCCGGACTCGTCCCCGGCTCGTCTTCCCCCTCGTTCCCCCCCTGTGTCCCCTCCCCTGTCTCGTGACCCGACTCCTCCGTCTCACGTCTGGTCTCACCGTCCCTCCCGTGCTCGTCCTGCCTCCCCTGTCTTGCGCTCCCACCCTATGTTGCTTCGTTCCCACGCGTCTCGTCCTCCCCTTCTCCCGTCGCCTCCTCCGTCCTCCCTTGTTGTTGCACCCCCCCCGCTGTCTGACTACCTTCGTGCCGCTCGTCCTCTTGTTCCTCGGGTCCTTGCCTCTCTCGTTACCGACCCGTCTGTTCCGGTCTCGTGCCTTGACGCTCTTGTAGTTGCGGTCGCTGACTTCGCCTCTACCCACCGCCTTGACTACGCCACCGCTCTGGTCTCTGACCCTGCCTGTACTCCGTCTGTCGGGGATGCTCCTGCCCTCGGCAGTGACGTCCTGGAGGACCGCCAGTTCGAGCTTGCTTTCCTGTCCGAGGCTGCTCCCCATCTCTGTTCCATGCTGCTAGTCCCTGAGGGTGACCCAGACGCTTTCGACATCCCGACCCCTCGCACTTACGCTGAGGCGACCTCGGGATCCTGGGCCTCGCAGTGGATAGCTGCCATGGAGCAAGAGATGGCATCTTGGAGATCCACCGGCACCTTCGTCGACGCAGTTCCCCCGCCTGGGGTGAACGTAGTCGATGGCCGCTGGCTCTTCAAGGTGAAGCGCCCTCCTGGAGAGCCGCCTGTGTTCAAGGCGTGCTACGTGGCTAGAGGCTTCAGTCAGCGTGAGGGGGTGGACTTCTTCCAGACCTTCGCTCCGACCCCGAAGATGACTACTCTTCGGGTTCTGTTACACCTAGCTGCTCAGCGTGACTACGAGCTTCACTCCCTCGACTTCTCCACTGCCTTCCTTCAGGGCAGCCTATACGAGCAGGTCTACTTGCGTCGCCCTCAGGGCTTTACTGGCACCTTCCCTCCTGGGACCCAGTGGCTCCTGCGGCGCCCCGTCTATGGCCTGCGCCAGGCTCCCCGTGAGTGGCACGACACGCTGCGGGCTACCCTTGCCGATCTGCAGTTCTTTCCGTCTTCCGCAGACCCCTCACTCTTCGTTCGTGCTGGCCAGACTCCGTTCTACATCCTTGTTTACGTCGACGACCTGGTCTTTGCCACAGCAGAGAGGGACGCACTGGCCTCACTGAAGGCAGAGCTGCTGAAGAGACACACCTGCACTGACCTTGGAGAACTGCGCCGTTACCTTGGCTTGCAGATCTCCAGGGACAGAGCAGCGCGCACCATCACCCTGACTCAGTCACACTTGGTGCGCCAGGTCCTTCAGAGGTTCGGCCTTCAGTTCTCCTCTGCACAGCCCACCCCTCTGCCTGTAGACCACAGAGTCTCTGCTCCTGTTTCTGAGGAGTCGGTAGAGTCCAGCGGCCCCTACGCAGAGCTGGTGGGTTGCCTCATGCACCTGATGACTTGCACTCGCCCAGATCTCGCATACCCTCTCAGCATCCTGGCTCGCTTTGTGGCCACAGGCAGACACTGGTCTGCCGCTAAGAGGGTTTTGCGTTATCTTGCTAGTACATCAGGCATGGGGTTAGTGCTAGGAGGACGTGGGCCAGTGGTCCTTACTGGACACACAGACGCTTCTTGGGCAGACGACGCCGAGACACTCAGGTCTACCCAGGGCTACTGCTTCAGCCTTGGTTCAGGTGCCGTCTCGTGGAGAGCTACCCGCTCTTCGTCTGTTGCCCAGTCCAGCTGTGAGGCCGAGATCTACGCTGGTGCCATGGCGGCACATGAGCTCCGCTGGCTGACCTTCTTGCTCACTGACTTAGGTGAGCGGCCTAAAGATCATCAGCGGCACTGTGTACAGCTTGGTCTAGTTCCTGTAGCCTCTCACTTGCTAGGGCCTTGACTTTGTACTGTCCTTTATATGTGTACTCAGACTGGACTTGTGTCCTCTCCGTCTGGACTTGTGTACCCAGACGGGACTGGGAATCCGCTATTAGAAGAATCAGGGTCGGGCTTCCATACGGCGCTGGAAAAACAGGCCACACTACACTACGCACGCTGATCGATCAGAGTTCACTCTTAAAAAACCCTGAAATTTCAGGCCTCTGTCCTAAAAAAATCCTGTCTCATCAGGGTCACCCCCCAAAAAAGCCCTGATTTTACCCTGAATCAGGGTAAAAAGCCTGCAATCTGAGGCCCTGGTCCCGAGGCTTCAGGTGTGTTCGAGCGTACGTGATAGCAGCAGTACCGCTCGGTAAGGAATGGAAAATTCCTTACAATGCAGGTACATGAGTACAGGGTAACATGATGCATCCTATAGGTACATCCACGCACCAAATGGCGGTGCAAAGTGCGTCCAATGTTACTACAAGATGCTGCATGACATAGTCTAGGCCAGATAAGGAACCATAGAAAAAATGTTGGCAAATTGTTGGCATCGAAGAGGGCAATCATCATCAAACCCCCAATTAAATCATAACAGACTTCTAATCAAGTGAAGGCATGCCTTAAATGGTCATGACTCCTGCATTAGATACCATCCACCCATTCCCGGATTCACATAGAAGCACATGAAGACACACATGCACGCATGCATGCATGCATGCTCATGCACACAGCTGCACGCACGCACACACACGCACATGCACGCATGCATGCATGCTCATGCACCCACATGCACACATGCATGCACACACGCATGCACATGACATGCACGCGCACAAGCGCATGCACTTCCACACTACAGACACGCGAATATGCCGGTCTGCACAGTGCTTCTGCATGCACAACACTCAAACACGAGCATCGACACACACTCTCCCCCTAACCAGCCATTCACACACACCCTCTCCCTAAGCAGCAGGCACACAGACCCAACCCCTCACCAACCCTTCACCAGAACCAGTCGTCCTTCTCCCCCTCATCCGCCCACCCTCCCCACGTGCCCTTGTCCGTCAACTTTCTCCCTACTCCAACCCCCCCTCCTCCCCTCCCACTCCACCCGCCGCCACCTGCCCCTTTTGCACCTTCACCTGCTCACTCCGCTCTCCCCCCTCCTGCTTCGCCCTCCGCTCCTTCCTCCCCACCACCAGCGTAATCGACCGGCGCATCACCTTCGCAACCGCTCTCCTCGTCCCTCCCCCCTCCTCCTCTCCCTCCTCCTCCTCCTCCCCGTCCTCCTCCTCGTCCTCCTCTTTCACAGCAGCTGCACCAGACAGTGCTCCAGCCGCCAATCCCCCTCCCCGTCCCACAGCATTATCATCCCAAACCCCCCCTCTTCTACCCACCCCAGCCCCCTCTCGCCTCCTAGGCCGATCCAACGGTCCAGACAGGGTCTTGGCCGCCCTGGCGTCTCCCCCATGGCCCCGCACGTCCCGCATGTCCACCCATCTCTTCCCCTCAAGCCCGTTCCCCAGTCGTAGCACCCCGTCTGCTCCTGACACCACAGCCACAGGGGACACGATCGCCTTCTCCTCTCTCTGCTCATGGCCACTGTCCCCACCTCCCCCCGCTGCTGCTGCCCCTCCTCCTCCGGCTGCTGCTGTTGCTCCTGCCCCTGCTCCCGCTCCTCCTCCTCCTCCTCCTCCTGCTGCTGCTGCGCCTCCTGCTGTGGCGGCACTGTCCCCTCCCCCGCCTCTTCCCCAGGACATGATTCCCCATGCGCCACTGGTGCTGCTCTTTGGTGTCCCTGCAGCAGCAGCAGCAGCAGCAGCAGCATCACCATTGCCATTGCCATGGCCACTGGCCATTACGCCGCTGCCCCAGTTACTGCTGCGGGCATCCCCACCTGCCGAAACCGTGCGAGGCACCTTGCCCTGCGTGCTGTTGCTGCTGCTGCTGCTCCTCTCACCCTCCCCTGCTGCTGCCGCTGCTCCTCTCCCCCCACCACCACCACCACCGCCGCCACCACTGCCTGCTGCCGTGTCGCGCCCCATGGCTCGTTCCGATCCGATGCGCGGGCTCAGTAGGCTTGCGAGCATTCGAGTGCTGGGAGGGGAGGACGACAAGGAGGCGGTGGCAGCGGCAGCAGCGAAAGAGGGGGCAGAGAGATGGGCGCTGTGGGTGGTGTTGCACGCACCACGGTGGGCGTGTGAGTGGGCGTGTGGGTGGGCGTGTGGGTGGGCGACGACAGACACGTGGGAGCCGTGGAAATGTGATGAATGCATATAGCTGCTGCTACCATGCACGTGCATGCGCATGCATGCTGCCGTGCCGCTGCCTGCCGCCATGTGACTGGCCTGGTTGACAGTATAGCTCGACGACGACGAGGAGGAGGATGAGGATGTGGAGGTGGTAATGATGGTCGCAGTGTGCGTGGTGCTGCGACCCGTACCACTCGTGCCAGTGCTCCCTGTGCTGCTTCTGCAGAAACTCACATCCACATCATCAGACGTCCCTCCACCTTCCCGCCCCCCTCTCCCTTCCCCTCCCTCCCCTCCTCCGCCTGCTCCCGCTGCTCCTGCCTCTCCTGCCCCTCCCCCACCCCCACCCCATATGCGTTGGAAGTGTGGCAGGTGGGGCAGGAGCCCACCATGGGGAGACACGGACCGATCCCTCGCCCTCTCACTCCTCTCCCCTTTCACTCCCATACCTCCCGTACTTGCCTCCCCCTCCTCCCCTTCCTCCGCCTCATCATCCTTTTCCTCCTCCTCCTCTTCCTCCTCCTCTTCCTCCTCCTCTTCCTCCTTTTCCTCCTGCTGCTGCTGAGGCGATGGCGAGTGGCCGAGAGACGCCTTGAGCCAGCTTAGCGGAGACGCCTTTCTCGCCTTCCCCTCCCCTTGCTTGCCCAGCTTCCTCCCCTCCTTCACCCCACCGCCCTTCCCCTTTCCACCACTGACACCAACTGTCATAGCAGCAATGGCGGCAGGGGCAAGCACAGAAGCGGGCGTGAACCCCTCTGGCTGAAAATCGTCCATCGCCTGGAGCCGGAAGGACGGCATGCCATCCGCTCCCCCATGCCATATCATTGCCTCTCTCCGCTCATCCCCCCTCCCCTCATTCCCCCTCCCCTCCGCGCCCCCCCACTCCCCGTCAGAATCGTCACCCATGATCAGATCATCCGCATCATTCGAGTAACTGCTCCTTCTTCCCAACCCACCCTTGTAGCCTCTTCCCGCCTCCTCTCTTCCACCCTCCTCCTCCTCCTCCTCCTCTTCCTCCTCCTCCTCCTCCTCCTCCTCCTCCTCCTCCTCCTCGTCCTCCTCCTCCTCCTCCTCCTCCTCCTCCTCCTCCTCCTCCTCCTCCTCCTCCTCGTCCTCCTCCTCGTCCTCCTCCTCCTCGTCCTCCTCCTCCTCCTCATCCTCCTCCTCGTCCTTCTCGTCGTCCCCCCAGTCATCCTCCACGTTCATCCGCAGCCGCATGGAGAATCGGAATCCCCCTGCGCCCAGCCCCCGCTCATCCGCCACATCACCACCATCACCATCGCCCGCATCACCATCAGAAGCAGAAACAGCACCAGCAACAGAAGCAGAAGCAGCAGAAGCAGCAGAAGCAGCACCACGGGAATCCTCACCAGAGCCACCACCTAATCCTGCTCCTGCTCTTCCTGCCGAGCCTCCAATGCCCCGCCGAGCCTGCTGGCTCGGCCTGCCCCTCCCCCAGAGCTCTTCTAGTGCCTTGGCTCCCCTCCGGTCCACTTCCAGCGACCAATCACAGTGAGACACATCAGCAACACTGGCCTTGGAATCCCCGGTAGCAGCAGCAGGAACAGCAGCAGCAGAATCAGCAGCAGACCCCTCCCAACACAGTGCATCCACCCCTCCTGCTGCTGCTGCTGCCCCTGCTGCTGCTGGTGCATCCCCGAACCGTTCACATTCCGAAGTCACGGAGTGGGGAGTAGGCGCCATGGAGGACGACGCAGCAGACAGGCTCGCCTCAATCACCGCTACAGGCGTCAGGGACACCAGCACAGGGGGCTGCGACGCCGCAGCCGCGGCTGTAGCAGCAGCCGCCGCCGCTGCTGGCGACGCCACGCTGGCCGCAGCAGCAGCCGCGGCTGTAGCGGCTGTAGCAGCGGTGGCGGCCGGCGGGGGGAGCTGTAGCTCCACCTGGACCCTCTGCCCCACTAAAGCGCCCTTCCTGTCACTCTTTATAAACCTCACTCTTAACGAAACCGCGCCTGAGGACGTGCCTGTGGCGGCTGCTGCGGCCGCCGCCTTGTCCCACTCCGAATGCTTGATATAGTCCAACAGGTCGTAGAAACACCGACCAATTAGGTCTTTAGGAGACTCGAAACCTAGACCGGCGATAACGCCTGCACTGGCAGCAACTATGCTGGCGGAGTGTTGGTCTAGGAGCAGGAGAGGGTCGGGGGATCGGGAAAGGACGGAGCAGGCTAGGGTGGGGTCTAGTAGGAGGAGAGAGGGGATGGGGAGGTCCGGGGTGGAGGGGCGGAGGAAGGAAGCCTTGGCTTTGTCGCCGTTGATTGGCCCGCACATCACGCGTGGCGACACTGACGTGGCGGATAGTGCCATGGAGGACGGCGCCGCTGCTGCTGCTGCGGGGAGAGCGGAGGGGGAGGCGAGCGGGTAGGTGGAGGAGGAAGAGGAGGAGGAGGAGGAGGAGGATGCGGGAACGTGATGCGTTTGGGGGTGTTCCGCGGAATTAGTAGCGGACGAGGCTGGGTCCTTGCTGGTGCTGGTAACGGAGGGTCCAATAACGAGGCTTTTCAGCCGGTTCTTGGCGCTCAGTAGCCGACTGAAGCCACTGCCACCACCACCACCACCACCACCGCCACCGCCACCGCCACCGCCACTGCTGCTGTTGCTGCTGTTGCCGTTGCTGCTGGTGCTCGTGCTCCCGTCCGTGCCTTCTGATCCCCACCCTCTCATTACACCTTCTGCATCTGCCCCCCCTGCTCTCCCCGCTCCCCCCCCTCCCCCCCTCCCCCCCCTCTCCCCCCTCGCCGGCGGCTTCCCCAGACCTCCCGCTTTTCCGCCCCCCCGGCGGCCCCGGAACCACGATCCCCGCGGCGGACGCCGCCGCGAGCGCCGCGTCAGCAGCGTCGTTGAGTGACGTGGAGCGGCGCTCGATGTTGGAGATGGACCGCGCCATGAGGCGCGCGAGGGAGAAGGACGGCGCGGAGGCGGACGGCGGGGGGGAGAGGGGGGACGATTTGCTCACCATGCTCCCCCTCGCGGGAATTCGCGCCCCCCTGTTGACCCCCGCGCTACCGCCGCCGCCGCCGCCGCTGCTGCTGGCGGCTTGACCGCTGCTGGTGCTGGGGCTGACGATGCCGCGTTTGGCGGCGGCGCTGCTCGCATCGCGAGGGCTAAGGAGTGCGTTATGATACGAGTGCGACGCCACACCGCCCTCCTGGCCGTGAATGTGACTATCGCGAGAGTGGTGATAAAAATGAACCACCGACAGGGGACTGCGCGACCGCCCCTTCGGCAACGGCGACAGCAATCCCCCCGCCCCCGTCCCCGCCCCCCCGCCGCCCATCCATCCTCCGCCGCTCTGACCCTCTCCGCCTGATGTGCCCCCGCATGTTCCGCCTTCCTCCGCGCTCCTCCGCGCGCTGCCCCTAGACCCTCTGCGGAAGCTCCCTACCGCCTCTAACCTTCCCCACCCTTCCCGCGGCGTGCTGTTGCTGCGACTGCTGATGTCAGCAGCAGCGCTGTTGCCGGGGGCGGCCGGGTCGGCGCAATGCGCGCGGGTAGGGGAGGCGGAGGTGGCGGAAGGGGAGAGGAGAGAGATGGCTCCCGCTCGCGAGGAAAGCATGCGGAGGAAGCGGCGGGCGCAGACGGAGGGGGAAGAAGGGGAAGGGGAGGGGAGTGGGGACTCCGCGGGACTCTTGGCGGGGTCGATGCTCGGTTTCCTGTCGCCCGCGGCTTCCGCCCCTGCGCGCCCCTGCGCTGTTGCTGCAGCGCTTGCGCTCCCCTGCGCGTGGTTGTGCCGGTGCCACAGCGCTCGCGCGGATGAGGACCGCGCGGGAGACGCGCCAATGGGGGGAGACGGTGTGATGAGGGACGGGGACAGGCTGATGCTGGCTCGCCGCTTCGACGCCGCATCTGATGCCGCGTCGGCCGCAACGCCAGCGGCTGCCAAGTTACTAGAGGCCGCGTGGGGGTACCAGAGTGGCGATATAGTTCGCGGGCGGCCCGACATCGAGCCGCGACGTTTCTCGGGGCTGGAATGGTCGCCTTTCCCCGCGGCGGAGCTCTCGTTAGGACCCGGCGGGTGTGACGTAGCATGCGGATGCGGCGCCGACGCGGACGCGCGTATGGCGAAGTGCATAGGCGGGACGCACGTGGGCTGGTGCCCGTGACTCGCGGCGGCAATCGCGGCGTCGCTTCCGAGGTTGTGGCTCCCCGTCGCCGGCTGCCCTGGACCCTGGTCGTACGACGCCGCCGGGCGAAAAGGCGACGGCGTGCGATCCCTGCCGCTGCCTGCTGGCAGCGACGACGTCATTGCTAGAGGCGAAGCTCCGGCGGCGGCGGCGGCGGCGGAAGTGGCGGAGGCAGCTGTGGCTGCCGGCGTATCTGCTGCGGCTTCCGCGCGCGGAGGCTCGCGGAAAGTGTTGGGGAGAGTGGCGGAAGGGTTGTGCCGGCAGGGTGCGGGCGTACTAGGGTTTGACTGCGGCGCGAGTCGCGAGGTTTCGACAAGAGCCATCTAACGACGGGAGAGGCGGGGGGAGAAGGAGACCGAGGACGAGAGAGGTGGAGAGGGATGGAGAGAGGTGGGAGGAGAGAATGTGGGGAAAGAGAGGTGTGCGGAGGAGGGAGTTGGGGGGAAGGAAAGCGAGGCTTGTGGGCTCTTACGGTCACTCTGCTGGCGGTTCATTAAAGAACGAGTCGGGAGGAGGCGAAACGACGAAACGAATGGGGGAGAGACAGGACGGAAGGCGTGAAGCGGCGGGGACGCTGATCAAGAGGCGATCCCCGCGAGTGGAGGAGACCTTCGGCTGCGGCGCTCTGCTAGGATGCGCGGAGGTTTGACTACGATAGATGACGACGATGGCGACGATGGCGACGATGGCGACGATGGCGACGATGATGGCGATGGCGTCGACGACGTACCTATGCGTATATATCTTCGCTCGCTGACTCACGGTGACCAAGACGGCCCATCTACACACAACTCATCGCCTCCATGCATTTCCCGCATTCCCAGGACAGGGGTGTGGCTTCGCTCTTGGGGTGACTGGGGAAGGAAGGCTGTTTGCTCGTTATGCTCGAGGAGCTTCGACACGTTTATGCCGGTTTGCGATCGTGACTCGTGAATGTAACGCATTTTGAGGGGGGAGGATGGCTGAGGGGAGAAAGAGGAGGTGGAGTACAGTACGGTATGAGGAGAGTCCAAGGGATGAGTCGATTTGAGTGTTGTGTTGAGGATGAGGATCCATCACCCTAGGTTCGGTTTTCATAAGGGTTAGATACGGCTCTGTGAGTTTCAACAAGCTTTAAATTGGGTTCCGTACGGTGACGGGCCGAACTAGGGCTTATGGGGAGGGCAGTTCCATTTCGACTGAGGGGCCATGTTGCAGCAGTGAGTTGGTAGGTTGGGCGGGTCACACGTCACGTTGCGTTGCAACACATGCAGCTTTTGTTGGTTGGTTGGGTGGCAGGCTGGCAGCTAAGTGAGTCAGCAGCCCCGTAACCTGACCTGACCCAGTGCGGTTGGGCTCCAAATGATCTCGTCGCCGCGCCGCGTGGTCTTTGCCACGCTGTCCTCCAAAGGCGTGCGGGAAACGAGATTGCTACAATCTCGGCTCGGAGATTGGTGGGGGATGGCTCGTTTGGTGAGGTACAAAGGATGCTCGACATTAGAACAACCTGTTTGCGAGTCGCGCTGAATGTATTTGGATGGATTCATGTGTCAGGAGAAAACAAATTAGGACTGAATTGGGCTAAGCATCTTGTGGACACCCTCTGTAAAGGTTTTAGTTCCGCTAGAAACTTTGACAGATTGGAGGCTTGGCCAGACCAAAGTACGGTACAGAGCAGTTTCATTTCGCCGATTGGTCCAGATCGCCTTGGACGTGGAATCCAGACTTCCAGTAAATCTGTAGAAGTCGTGCTGAACGAACCTGGGGCATCCGAAATTTGTGGAGTGCTGTAAAGAATTCACGTTCATTTGACCGTTGACAGAGATGGCGGGACGAGTGCTTCTAGGAGCATCAAGTGTGGGAGATATGACAATCTTTGGGCCCACTTTTCCGCCCACCCAAATGCCCGGGCAGCTTTTCCAGGATGATGAAGGCAATACCTACTGTTCAGTCGAAGTCGTTACCCGGACGACAACAGAACTGTAGTGTGTGGGATGAGCAACATTCTGCGAGCGATACATCCCATGCAACCCGCGGTTGGGAAAAATCTCACTTTGCATTGTACTCGGTATAGTAATGCTGCTGGTCAAGTGGCATGTCAAGGGGAACATCGAGCTAAACGTAGTACAAAAAGATTCAGAGGAATGTGTGTACAGCCGTTCCGATGCAATAGCGATTGCTGTTGGCAGCAATATGCAGTGGCAAAGGTAGCCACATAACCTGCTGAGCTACAATGGACGTTCTGCAACATCGTTTGTTACCAAATCACAAGTGCAATCAGAGTCAACAATGAACAAAATGAAGATAATGTGGAAGGCAGTGGATGAATATGCAGGTCTATCCCGCTCTTTCACCGCCAGAAGCGCCAACACCAGCAACGCTCACCAAGTGATTTCTGCGGGCAGCTTCCGTCCATCAAATGCCGAGTATACGCAGTCACTTTCCAGTACCCCCGTTGTCTCGTAGTCCCCTGTCTGCCCATCCAAGAAACCCCGTCCTTCCTCCCCCTCGGCTGCAATAGGATGCCCCAGCAAAACAGCCAGGGCTGAAAAGTCCATAGCTCTTCTCTCCCTCCCGCTTCTATATGTCTGCCCGAGCACTCCATGAATACTCGGCGATGATTGGATGTGGGAGAAATGGAGGTTGATATGGGCTTGTGCATCCTTGGGCGTCTGAAGCAAGGGGTGTGCAACGCGCAGCTTTATACGGATGTCGAGCAGCGAGTCTATAGTGAGTCGGTACGAGTCCACCTCGAAGAAGCCTCCACCTAGGGTCTCCTCCGCTTCAAAGGAGAAGGAGAAGCCGGGGGCGGAGTGCTGCTGCCCGGGCTGCGATGGGTGGAGCATAGGGGATGGAGAAAGGCAGGGGCAGGGAGGGAAGAAGATCAAATGGTAGGTGAGTGGATGGGAGCAACGCCAGCAGGAGAAAGCGGAATTGGGGATGGAGGGAGAGGAGGAAGGGGGGGGGGGGGGGGGGGGGGGGGGGGGGGGGGGGAGGGGGAGTGGGGAGAGGGAGGGGTGTGGGGGGTTTCGGGGGAGGGATGGACAAGGACCGGCAGAGCTCGAGGTACTTCCCCATACTTCCTATACAGCGCACCGGCCTGCCCACCCACCAACCCGCCCGTTCCCCACTTGCCCAAGCATGCAGCCAGCCAGCCAGCCACCCAGTTTGCCCCGGTACCAGCTCCCGCACCCCTCACCCTTCACTCCCCTATCCCTCCCCCCTCCCCCCCCCCCCCCTCTTCCCCCCCCAATCCAAGCCTCTCCCCAAAACTCCTCCCAATGTTCCCCACCCCAACAACCCTTCCCCCCTGGCTTTCGCTCGTCGCCGCGTCCACTCACTCTTAACTCCGGCAGAGCCCGCCCATCCAGCTCGACCAGTCTTAGCAGCCGCCCGCCGTCCTTCCGCCCCTGCCCCTTGCCGTCCCGCGCCACCAGCCGTAGCGTGTGCTTCCTCCGCCGTCCCGCCCGCACTCCCGCTCCCCCGATTCCGGCTTCTCCTTCCGCTCCTTCCGCGGCCTCCGCTTCCCCCGAGTCTTCCGCCCCCGGCTCCCGCCAAACGACTCCCAGCTCGCGGATCCACGTGCGCACAGCCAGCCCGTTGCGCAGCAGAGACGCGCCGATGGTGCGCGTGTCGTAGTACCCGCGCATCTTCATGTTCACGTGCAGGCTCGAGTCCGTCAGCAGGCAGTACGTCTTCTCGGGAGCGCCGTTGAACTCGAACCGCGTGCCGTGCGCGCCGCGGAAGTGCGGGTCGTTCTTGGTGCTGCCGCAGGGGGTGCCGACACTGGCGGCACGGAGAGAGGAGGGGAGAGGGCGAGGGAGGAGAAGAGAGCAGAGTGTGGGAAAGGAGGAGTGGGGGAAGGAAGGAAATGCGAAGGGGAAGCGGAGGAGGGGAAGGAGAGAAAGGAGTGAATGGAGAAGGTAGGGAGGGAGGAAGGGAGGAAGGGAGGGAGAAAGGGAGGGAGGGAGGAAGGGAGAAAGGGAGGGAGGGAGGAGGGGAGGAAGGGAAGGGCGAATGGGCGACTGGAAGGGGACGTGCAGGGAGGGGAAACTGTGGAAGGAGGGGACCGAGAAGGGAGGAGAAGAGCGGGGGCAAGGAGAAGAGTAAAGGGAGAAGAGCGGGGCGGAGGGGGAGACGCAGGAGCGGGGGGGAGGTGGAAGAGCGGGGGCGAGCGGGAAGAGGCGGGCTTACGTGGAGACATTGGCGTTTAGCCGAGCGACCTTCTTGAACGTGATGTTGGCCGAGGCGCATTTCGGCGCCGCGGCCGCCGCGGGATAGATGACGCACATCCCACACCCCGCACACACCGGGTTGGGCCTGCTCGGGTAACGCGGGGGAGGACGGGGGGGGGGGGGGGGTTGGTGGGGGGAGGGAGGGGTGGGGGGGGGGAGAAGGGGAGGGAGAGGGGGAAGAGAGGAGAGAGAATGGAAAAGGGCAGAGGAAGAGGGGGAAATGGGCGAACGTCCAACGAAACTGATGCTGATGCTTCGGAAAGGGAAAATGGTGCACGAACCGTGCGCACGTCGCCGCCCCACTCCCGCTAACCAACCCACAGTCCCCCATTCACCTCCACCACCGTTCCCCGGCCGTTCCCCGGCCGTTCCCCTCCCGTGCCCCTCCCGTGCCCCTCCCGTGCCCCTCCCGTGCCCCTCCCGTGCCCCTCCCGTGCCCCTCCCGTGCCCCTCCCGTGCCCCTCCCGTGCCCCTCCCGTTCCCCTTCAGCTTCCCCCCTCTGTTCCCCTCCCCCCGCATCCCCCTCGCCGCACGTACGGTATGATGTGCTGCCAGTAGGCGCACGCCCCGGCATTCGCGCATCTCAGGCAGCACTGCGACCGAGAGATCGCATTGCTCGCGCAGTACGGCGTCGTCAAGCGTCGCACGCTCGTCGCCGCCGTGCACCGGATCGGCACAAGGTACCGGCCGTCCGTTCCCGTCGTCGAGTTGCACAGCCGGTTGCAGCGAACTTTCTCGGAAGGTACGCATGTCTGAAACCCCACGCCCTTGTATCGGTTGTCGTTGAACGTCTGCCCGTGAGTTGCGGCAGGCGGCCGGAAAGCGACGAGTATAATTAACAGTAGGACGACAGCGGTCGGTATGTCTCTTATCGCGCCCATGCGGGATAGGATCCAGCGTTGCTAGTGGAAACGGGCCCGCAAAGCGCGCCGGGTGTCACGGCGGATGTGGAGGAGGCTACTGGTGGGTGAGCGAGCGATGCCAGTAGGGGAGAGGTGGGTACGGAGGCATTTGATCCAGTATATACAAATAAATACAATATCTAGACGATAAGTCCTAATGGTATTACTTAAAACGAGTGGACAGAGAAGTATTGCATCTATAATTCGCGACGCCACGCAGCAGGAGGGGCGGCAGGAAAATAAGAGGCGCCCAAACTCCGTATCTGCTACCGGGGAAAATGTAAGAGCCGCGTCGCAGTTCACACAAAGGGGCGGGATAATTCGGCAGGAGCACGAGAGGCGGCGGCACGGATCTTTCCAACAGCTCGGTTAGACGATGAGGAAGGCTGTGCGTGGAGCATGCAGAGGATCTGGGGGACGACTTTCCTAGGCCAATTGGGAGAAGGTAGAAGCATTGTGTACTGAAGGTTTCAGTGCGGTTGAACTGGACATCGTATGACTGCAGTTCGATTTTCCGCCCTCCTTCCCCAACAGGCCCAGGTGGGACGCACCTGGGCCTGAGCATGTCGTTCATGCCTGTTGTTGGCGTGGCTCTGGTCTGGCCTGGGAGGTTTTGGTTTGGTGTCTGAACACCGACTCATCTATCTCTCCGAGGCATCGGGCGTGAGGGGAGCAAGGGTTTTTAGTTGTTCGGTTACTGTTACTAGGACTCTGTGCACTGTAGTCACGGTTAGCGATACCGGCGGAGGGTTCTGTCCCGTTCTGAGCTTCGAGGAGAGATTTTGCATTCTTTAAAGTTATTTCGTACCTCATTGAACCACCTGGCACAAATTCTTGGTCGTTAACTGTAGATATCGCGCTGCAAGTTCGTCCACAATCGTCCTTGTTTTTTCTGACGGAGGAGAAAGATTTTCCGTCAGTGATTGACGATTGTCGGCAACCCTGTTTTGAGGTTCGTGCACTGACGTGCAGATACTGAACTGTATGCTGACTGGAAAATAGGCGACAGTGATTCTGAAATCAATGGAGATCCAGACCTCCCACTTGGCCATCCGAGCTGGGTAGAAAAAACAAGGACGAGTGTGGGCGAATTTGCAGCGCGATATATACAATTGACGATCAAATAAATTGTGCCAGGTGGTCCAATAACATACGCTATAACTTTAAAAAAGGCAAATCCTCCCCTTGGAGCTCAGAACGGGACGAGACTCTCAGCCCATAGTGCTAACCGTGAATACGAAGCACATAGTCCTAGAAACGTTAACCTAACAGCTAAAAACTCGAGAAACAATGTACAGTGTAATACAGTGTTGGTTGTTGGGATTCGTTGGGCAGTTCACGTACAGTACAGTCCAGGACTGGGGTGTACACGGCATTTCGTTGAGGTAGTCTGGGGTGGGGTGGGGTCACTGACTCACTGGGTGTGCATTGTGCCTGTCCCACGCGGCAACCAGTTTTGTGGTCTGGCAAGGTACCGCTGCCGCGTGGGCGGCGAAGACGTTCAGACATTTTTTGGTCAGATGAAGGGCTCTAGCTAACAGGGTAACCACCCTTAATTTCACCAAATTAATAGTTGTTTCCGACCTGATTCCGTTTTTTGCATATTATACTTTTCCTGATTCCGTCCTCCTAACGGATTATTTTCGTATGGTTCCTTGATATGCCAGGTTACTTATATTTGATTCCGTACGAAGTGCACTTTTGTTGGATCTGTTCGTAGTGGTGTATCACCCCTTCCCACCCTCCCCTCTTCCTCCACTCAGCAAAGAGAGGTTGGTTACCGCGAAGTTTTCTACTCTTCCAACCGCCACAGGCATGTTGTGTGCGAGAAACAGTCCATGGGGCTCGAAGGGATTTCCTTAGCCGTGGCCAAGGCCATTTGTCTTTGAGGATAGAAGTATCAAACCAAGAGTAGCTCTTGGACGAATACGTATGCTAACGGGTAATATTTCAATGATGCCGTCCGCTAACGGGTAGTTCGGGGCCGATTCCGTGACCAAACGGAATACCCTACGCTCAGCGAGAGCCCTGGTCAGGTGGTTGCAAAACTCACAAAATGTACGTCTTACTTGCTCTCCCCAATTCTCTGATACGCTATCAAGCATCCGGGCAGTAACCAGGGGACTTGAAGTTCCCAAAAGCTATTCGCGAGAATCGCGAAACCTCATATTTGCTAATACAGTCTTCGGAATTTTCGCGGCTGTGGTTGGTAAGGAAGAAGACAAAGGCAGCAAACTCACCAGGTGGTCCACGCCCGAGTCGCATGTGGTTGCCTTGTGAAACACAGCATTCATGGACCACTGTATACACGTTTTTCAAGGAACAGTTAATATACTTTTGCACGCGGCTTAAAACGAGGATCTCAAGAAGCAAAAAAAAAAAAAAAAAAAAAAAAAAAACAAACAAACAAACAAACAAACAAAAAAAAAACAAAAAACAAAACCCAAAGGTTTTGGTTTTGGGGGGGGTGGGGGGGGGGGGGGGGGGGGGGGGGGGGGGTTCGCGCAAATTGAGAGGTGTGGTGAGGGGTGTTGGGGGCCGCTATTACTGTTTCGCTCATTTCGCCAACCTAAAACCAAACTTTTGGATTTGGTGCGCTTCTTGAGATCCAAAGTAAGCCATAAATTCCAATCCCCATCAAACGAGACAATGCAAAATCCGCAGTTAAGTTAGGCGGTTTGTCAAGCTTCCCTGTGTCATACCGTTCCTTACTCCTCACCTAGGCACTAAAGAAGCTGCATACTCGTAATATGCTTTGTAGGCTTATGCCTTCGGCGCAACGTATTGCTCTACAGAGCACTACGAGGCCGATTGTCTCAGGCACGACACTACAAGATCGCGCCAATGGCGAACCAAGGACAACAGTATCAAGTAACCCAACAGCGTTCTGAAATACCTGGCTACAATCAACAATCACATGCGGCTTTGCCCGAGGGTTCGATGAAGAATCCATCACTGGCTATTGGACAAGATGAAGTTGGCGAAAGGGCGAATATAAATTTGCCGCCCCCAATTACCTCTCCAATCGGCCTGCAAACTGCAAGCATCAACATGGCGCCAGGAATTCTCAAAACGCACAGGCCGCCCACGTTCGACACAAGCCAGCCTGGCAGTTTGTCCGTAAGCATGTTGGACTTTTCAAATGAACGTTTTTTATGACTGCAACCTCGTCATCGACAACGCGCAAAAATACCAACACGTCGTTTCACGTGGATCAGCGATGGACTACGTAAACAAGGATGTAGAACGGAGTCTAGTCAGCACGAACAAAGAGCGAGGGGTCTGCAGAGAACGGAAAGAACTGCTGGTCAGCAAAGGTAGCACGCAACGTGTCGTGCCACTCACGGGGAGCCTGTCGTAGACCATAGACGAGGCACCGCAGGAGCCACTGAGTCCCAGGAGGAAAGATACAAGTGAAACCCTGAAGGCGGCACAGGTAGACCTGCTCGTGTAGACTGCCCTGAAGAAACGCAGTGGAGAAGTCGAGGGAGTGAAGCTCGTAGTTACGCTGAGTTGCTATGTGCAGTAGCACCCGAAGAGTAGTCATCTTCGGGGTCGGAGCAAAGGTCTGAAAGAAGTCCACCCCCTCACGCTGACTGAAACCTCTAGCCACGTAGCGCGCCTTGAACACATGCGGCTCTCCAGGAGGGCGCTTCACCTTGAAGAGCCAGCGGCCATCGGCTACGTTCACCCCAGGTGGGGGAACTGCGTCGACGTAGGTGCTAGTGGATCTCCAAGATGCCATCTCCTGCTCCATGGCAGCTATCCACAAAGAGGCCCAAGGTCACGAGACCGCCTCAGCGTAAGTGCGAGGGGTCGGGATGTGAAAAGCGTCTGGGTCACCCTCGGGGACTAGCAGCATGGAACAGAGATGGGGAGCAGCCTCGGAGAGGAAAGCAAGCTCGTACTGGCGGTCCTCCAGTACGTCACTGCCAAGGGCAGGAGCACCCCCGACAGACGGAGGACAGGCAGGGTCAGAGAACAGAGCGGTGGCGTAGTCAAGGCAGCGGGTAGAGGCGAAGCCAGCGACCACAGCGACAAGAGCGTCAAGACGCAAAACCAGAACAGACGGGTCAGTAACGAGAGGGGCAAGGACCCAAGGAACAAGTGGACGAGCGGCACGCAGGTAGTCAGACAGAGGGGGAAGCGCAACAACAAGGGAGGACGGAGGAGGCGACGGTAGGAGGGGAGGACGAGACGCGTGGGAACGAAGCAACATAGGGTGAGAGCACAGGACAGGGGAGACATGGTGAGCACAGGAGGGACGGCGAGTCCAGACGTGAGACGAAGGAGTCGGGTCAGGAGACAGAGGAGGGGACACAGGGCCGTAGATAGGGAGAGGCAAAGATGGCAGGAAAGGCGCAGGCGCAGGGTCAGGGGACGAAAGGTCGAGCAGGCAAAGGGCTGACACCGGTGGCGACTGTTGCTGCGGTGGCACGGCACCGACTCCGGGACCGCAAGCTGCTCCACGGCTACCTCCGGAACACTCAACTCAAGCACCCCCTGATGGAACACCCCCACAACCCGAAACCCCTCGAGTACCAGTATCAACCCCAGGCCCGCCGGGACAAGCCATGACAGGAACCCAAGGACTAGTACCCACCCCAATATCAGCACCCCCAGAGGCAACGAACCGCTGCTGCGACGGCTGCGGCGACGACGGCTACAACGACGGTTGCGGTAGCGGCGACGGCAGAGACAGCGGTGGCTGCGGAGGCGGCGGAGGAGACACCTGGGGAGGTGCAAACGGCGAGGACTGCGCCGCAGGACCACCAGAGTCAGCAGACTCCTCGACCGGGACAACCGACGTGAAAGGGGTGACGTGGGACACACCAGACGGTGCAGGACGGGGAGGGGGAGGGGTTACAGGGGCGACCGGGGAAGGGGTGACCAGGAACAGGGGGGGAGTAACCGGGGGACCTCTACGGGGGAAGCGGCGGTAGAAGGAGACAGACTCGTCAAAGGTGACGTCACGGGAGTGAAAGAACCGGTGAGACGGCGGGTGGTAGAAGTGCCAGTCGAGCGCGTCAAGGCGGAAACCGAGGAAGACACAAGGGAGGGTGCGGGCAGTGAGCTTGTCCGTGCAAGAGGCACGAACGTGAGCAAGGCAGCCTCAGACGTGGAACGCAGACACGTCACCAGGAGACCCGGACCAAAGAAGGGTCGGCGAAACCCGTGGCTGCTGAGGGTGCGGCCACAGGTTAAGCTGGTGAGCGGCGTAGCGAACGGCGAACGGCCACAGAAAATGGGGTGCACCGGCATGGACCATGGAGGTGCGAGCCACCTCCATGACCAAACCAATGCGTCGCTCAGTGACCCCGTTCTACTACGGGGAGTCCGGCAAGGTGAACGTCTGGGTGATGCCCGCCGCAAGACAGAAGCGACCAAGGACACCAGAGGCAAACTCGCCACCACGGTT